AGTATATAATGAGTGACGAACCATCCAAAAAATGTAAGCGAAGCTTTGTAGAAGCTTGGCTTACTGATGATCGTTACAAATCTTGGATACGTAGAGTATCATCCGATAATTGTATTATTATTGCAGTATATGTAATAAAACATTTTCGTGTCAATCGAGAAATATTTCGAAACATGCGGACTCTACGTATCATAAAAATATTAAAAAATCATGTGATAATAATGATAATAATGAAGATAATTCAGTAAAAAAAATCTAAACGCATATTTCAATTAAAATGGTTACATATTGAGGAATTTAAACATTGGTTCCGCGAAATGTCAGGTGATGACAGTTTGTGTTATTGTATAATTTGCGATAAGTCTTTTGCTTGTTGTGGATTACCGCAAATCTATCGTCACGCCAAAACAAAAGCACATATAAATAAATTTGAAAGTAGTGAAATAAGATTCAATCAAATGAAGATTGGAATATGGAAAATAGCGATGAATTGTTTTTACTATTTGATGAACGTATAAAAAAAAGCGGAAATCAGATATGCCGCATTAATTGCTGAAATGAATATTCCTCATCAAAGGAAATCCTGCAAACAGGATTCTTAGCTTTTTTCAACACGTGGGGAAAGATCCTCATGTATTACGGAGTATGAAAATGAGTCGTACAAAATGTACAAATATTATTACAAACGTTTTAGCCAAAGTTGAAACGGAACGTGTCGTAGACAACATTCGGAACACAAAATTTTCAATATTTATAGACGAAACATCAGATATTTGAAAAATGGATGACATTTCAAGTGAATGCCCTGAAAGAAATACCCTGATTCTGGGACATTAGAAATTCGCAGTTAGTTGAATTAATTAATATCGATGCTAAAGATTTCAGCGCAGATAAATTGTGTGTGTGTGTTTAACTCATTTAAAAATAAAATGTACAAATTTCAGGTACCATTTTCGAATATTATTGCTCTGTCATGCGACAATGCGTCTGTCATGACAGGGAAACATCCCAGGTAGCACATATTCGTTTAAAAAACGTTTCACAAATGTTTCTTTGAAACGTTTCACAAATGTTTCTTTGAAACGTTTCATAACCGGCTCTTGAAAACGTTTCTGGTTGGTTAAAATGTCCACTCGAAAAACGTTAAGGAAAACGTTTTTTTTTCTGATAAAAAACGTTTTCCTTAACGTTTTCCTTAACGTTTTTTTTTCTGATAAAAAAACGTTTAAGAAACGATCGAGATACCGCTTAAGAAACGATCAAAATATCATTTTTTCTTGTATCTGTGATAAAATTTTCTTTCTCACAAAATTACTAAAATAATGTATTCACATATGTGAATACATATATATGCGTATACATACGTATGCTTTCATAAACCAATTAATGGAGAAAGAGAGAGACAGAGATGTATATATATATATATACGCAGGGTGTCTGATAACTCACCTGACAACGACAGAATATATATGATCTCTATACAGGTTGTTCGGAAATTAGCGCATTAGAATATCATAGCAAGGTAGAGCGGATTAAATTGTGTCGAAAAGTGCTCTATTATTTTACAATTTTCGCAATAGTTAACGAGATATTTACTAAAATTGTCAAAAATTGGTATTGGAGTAATAATTTTTTACTCAAATACTATCAATTACTTTACAGAAAAACTGCAAGAAAAAAAATTGTTTATTTTCTTTTCATAGAACTTTAAGAATTTTTTCAGAATTTTTTATCAACTTTTTAGTATTGCATTTTCTTATTTTTAACAACATACAAAAATATTAAAAAATTATGAAAAAATCCTGAAAAAATACGTGAAAAATACGTTTTTTAAATTATAATTTTAAAAACGTTTTCGGTGAAACGTTTTTTATTAACGAAACTAATAGCGAATTCGGTTGAACGTACTAGTGCATATTAGTGTACATTAAAACCGTTATATACGCAGATTTAAAACGGAATTAAACCATGAAACCTACAATAGATGTTATTGTGCCGTTATGTAAAATCTGTATTTTATAAGTTGAAATATTTGCATTTTACTTTTACACGGATTAAATCTGCGTATAACGACTTTAATGTACACTAATGTGCACTAGTACGTTCAACTGAATTCGCTATTAGTTTCGTATGTAATGAGCGAAAAAAAAGATAGAATAAAGATTACAGCGTGTCGAGCGCCCCGAACGAATGCCCCTTAAACCGTAATCACACTACAGGCTCCCGACTCTGACTCCCGACTCCCGACTCAAAGTCGATCGAATAGAATGATTTCTATTCTCGAGTCGGCAGTCAGAGTCGGCTACTGCCTTGCTGTAATTGGTGGTGTCCAATCGAGCCGTGATCAATCGGGATCACCCCATCGACATCTAGAATGGACCGCTAATGGCAATGGTGGGGGTAGAAAGACGATTAGAGTGAGAGGCAGGAATAATAAGATCCTTCTTTCTCTGTTTACTGAAGCCTGATTGGTTGTTGTTAATCCAACAGTAGTTAGAAACAACAGTAAACAGAGAAAGAATGATCTTATTATTCCTGCCTCTCACTCTAATCGTCTTTCTACCCCCACCATTGCCATCAGCGGTCCATTCTAG